CCATTCATTGGAGTAACAAAAATCTCGAATAAAGACTACCTTCTATCATGACAAGGCTACCATCCATTGGAGTAACCAAAATCCAAACGACAAGCTACCTTCCATAGTGACAAGGCTATCATCCATTGGAGTAAGAAAAATCTCGACAAGAGACTACCTTCGATATTGACAAGGCTATTATCCATTAGAGTAAAAAAAATCTCGACAATAAACTACCTTCCATAACAACAAGGCTACCATTTATTGGTGTAAGAAAAATCTTGACAACAAACTACCTTCCAAAATGACAAGGCTACCGTCCATTGGAGTAACAAAGATATCGATAACAGACTACCTTACATAATGTCAAGGCTACCATCCATTGGAGTAACAAAAATCTCGACCAAAGACTAACTTCCATAATTACAAGGTTACCATCCATTGGAATAACAAATATCTCGACAACAGACTACCTTCCATCATGATAAGGCTACCATCCATTGGATTAACCAAAATCCAAACGACAAGCTACCTTCCATAGTGACAAGGCTATCATCCATTGGAGTAGGAAAAATATCGACAAGAGACTACCTTCCATAATGACAAGGATATTATCCATTGAAGTAAAAAAAAATCTCGACCATAGACTACCTTCCATAATGACAAGGCTACCATCTATTACTGTAAGAAAAATCTCGACAACAGACTACCTTCCATAATGACAAGGCTACCATCCATTGGAGTACCAAAAGTATCTATAACAAACTACATTCCATAATGACAAGGGTACCATCCATTGGAGTAACAAAAATCTCGACAACAAACTACGTTCCAAAATGACAAGGCTACCATCCATTGGAGTAACCAAAATCTCGACAACAAACTACCTTCAATAATGACAAGGCTACCATCCATTGGAGTAAAAAAAATCTCAACAACAGACTACCTTCCATAATGACAAGGATACATTCCATTGGAGTAACAAAGATATCGAAAACATACTACCTTCCATAATGACAAGACTACCATCCATTGGAGTAACAAAAATATTGAAAACAGACTACCTTCCATAATGACAAGGTTACCATCCATTGGAATAACAAAAATCTCGACAACAGACTACCTTCCTTAATGACAAGGCTACCTTGCATTGGAGTAAAAAAGATATCGACAACAGACTACCTTCCATAATGTCAAGGCTACCATCCATTGGAGTAACAAAAATATCTACTAAAGACTACATTCCATAATTACAAGGTTACCATCCATTGGAATAACAAATATCTCAACAACAGACTACCTTTCATCATGACAAGGCTACCATCCATTGGAGTTACCAAAATCCAAACGATAAGCTACCTTCCATAGTGACAAGGTTATCATCCATTGGAGTAATAAAAATCTCGACAACAGACTACCTTGCATAATGACAAGGCTATCATCCATTGGAGTAACAAAGATTTGAACAACAGACTACCTTCCATAATGACAAGGCTGCCATTCATTGGAGTAACAAAAATCTCAACAACAGACTACCTTCCATAATGACAAGGCTACCATCCAATGGAATAACAAAAATCTAGACAACAGACTACCTTCCATAAAGATAAGGCTACCATCCATTGGTGTAACAAAAATCTCGACAACAGACTACCTTCCATAATGACAAGGCTACCATCCATTGGAATAACAAAAACATCTTCAACATACTAAGTTCCATAATTACAAGGATACCATCCATTGGAGTAACAAAAATCTCGACAACAGACTACCTTCCATAATGACAAGGCTACCATCCATTGGAGTAACAAAAATCTCGACAACAGACTACCTTCCATATTGACAAGGCTACCTTCCATTGGAGTAAAAAAAATCTCGACAATAGACTACCTTCCATAATGACAAGGTTACCATCCATTGGAATAACAAAAATTTGACAACAAACTACCTTCCATAATGACAAGGTTACAATCCATTGGAGTAACAAAATCTCGACAACAGACTACCTTCCAAAATGACAAGGCTACAATCCAATGAAGTAAGAAAAATCTCGACAACAGACTACCTTCCATAATGGCAAGGCTACCATCTATTGGAGTAACAAAAATATCGATAACAAACTAATTTCTATAATGACAAGGCTACCATCCATTGGAGTAACAAAGATATCGATAACTGACTACCTTCCATAATGACAAGGCTACCATCCATTGGAGTAACAAAAATTTCAATAATAAACTACCTTCTAAAATGACAAGGCTACCATCCATTGGAGTAACAAAGATATCGGCAACTGGCTACCTTCCATAATGACAAGGCTACCATCCATTGGAGTAACAAAAATTTTGACAACAAACTACCTTCCATAATGACAAGGCTACCATCCAATGGAGTACCAAAAATATCCAAGAACAGACTACCTTCCATAATGACAAGGCTACCATCCATTAGAATAACAAAAATCTCGACAACAGACTACCTTCCCTAATGACAAGGCAATAATCCATTGGAGTAACAAAAATCTCGACAACAAACTTCCTTCCAAAATGACAAGGCTACCATCCATTGAAGTAAGAAAAATCTCGACAACAGACTACCTTCCATAATGGAAAGGCTACCATCCATTGGAGTCACAAAAATCTCGATAACAGACTACCTTCTATAATAACAAGGCTACCATCTATTGGAGTAACAAAGATATCGACAACTGACTACCTTCTATAATGACAAGGCTACCATCCATTAGAGTAACAAAAATATTGACAACAAACTACCTTCCATAATGACAAGGCTACCATCCAATAGAGTACCAAAAATATCAAAAAACAGACTACCTTCCATAATGACAAGGCTACCATCCATTGGAATAACAAAAATCTCGACAACATACTACCTTCCATAATGACAAGGCTACCATCCATTAGAGTAACAAAAATCTCGACAACAGACTACCTTCCATAATGACTAGGCTACCATCCATTGAAGTAACAAAAATCTCGATAATAGACTACCTTCCATAAGGACAAGGCTACCATCCAATGGAATAACAAAAATCTCGACAAAAGACTACCTTCCAAAATGGCAAGGCTACCATCCATTGGAGTATCAAATATCTCGACAACAAACTACCTTCCATAATTACAAGGCTACCGTCCATTGGAGTAACAAAGATATCAACAATAGACTACCTTCCATAATGACAAGACTACCATCCATTGGAGTAACAAAAATATCAAAAACAGACTACCTTCCATAATGACAAGGTTACCATCCATTGGAATAACAATTATCTCGACAACAGACTACCTTCCATCATGATAAGGCTACCATCCATTAGAGTAACCAAAATCCAAACGACAAGCTACCTTTCATAGTGACAAGGCTATCATCCATTGGAGTAAGAAAAATATCGACAAGAGACTACCTTCCATAATGACAAGGCTATTATCCATTGGAGTAAAAAACATCTCGACCATAGACTACCTTCCATAATGACAAGGCTACCATATATTAGTGTAAGAAAAATCTCGACAATAGACTACCTTCCATAATAGCAAGGCTACCATCCATTGGAGTAACAAAAATATTGACAACAGACTACCTTCCATAATGACAAGGCTACCATCCAATGGAGTACCAAAAATATCAAAAAACAGACTACCTTTCATAATGACAAGGCTACCGTCCATTGGAATAACAAAAATCTCGACAACAGACTACCTTCCATAATGACAAGGCTACCATCCATTGGAGTAACAAAAATCTCGACATCAGACTACCTTCCATAAGGACAAGGCTACCATCCAATGGAATAACAAAAATCTCTACAAAAGACTACCTTCCAAAATGGCAAGGCTACCATCCATTGGAGTAACAAATATCTCGACAACAGACTACCTTCCATAATGACAAGGCTACCGTCCATTGGAGTAACAAAGATATCAACAATAGACTACCTTCCATAATGACAAGACTATCATCCATTGGAGTAACAAAAATATCGAAAACGGACTACTTTCCAAAATGATAAGGTTTTCTTCCATTGGAATAACAAAAATCTCGACAACAAACTACCTTCCATAATGACAAGGCTACCATCCATCTATTATCTATCTATAAAAATCTATGTCCCTGGAAATTACCACAACACCAAAGCTGATAAAATGCTTTCTTGGTCTATTGTATTGGGGTAAAATAGGAAACTCAAAAATATCTTGCACCACATTCATTTGAATCTGATGTGGCACTCCCACAATTTTTCACCACATTTTCAATTTTTGTTTTTCAAATAAATCCATGCCCAACCATTATGCCTCTCTTCCTCTTCCCCATGCCAAACCATTATTCCTTGCCATTCAATTGGAATATTGTCGCTCATTATTAAAATTCCAAAGTTAAAGAATTGATGTGCAGCCATATTAATCACATGGAGAAACACAAAACGTTTCCATCCTCTCCAAAATTCTTTTATTGATTTGTATTTCATTCAGATCTCTTCATCTGTAATACTTTGTTCTTCTTCATTTCTTCCCTCAACCTTAACGAAGTTGTCCTTAAAACGCATAAATCCGTCGAACGCGATACGTAGCTTTCCATCTCTGGGCGTACGTTTGTGGTACCTCTATTTCATTCCATGTGTTCATTTCAATTATTGATTTGTCTTGATATCATTTGCTAAAAATGGTAGAAATTTGAGATGTGGGTTTTATTTCTTTAAAAATGAAAAGAAGTTATTCTTTCTCCAAGTTTGGATTCACCAGGTAGTCAATTTGATTGTTTGGCCCCTTACTGTTTCAATTTCTTTTTTGTCTGATTTTTTGGAATCATCAAGCTTATGGTTCCTATAGGTATAAACTGATTCTATGCTTTTTCTGTTGTTGTTACAGCTTATAACATCATCTATGGCTCGCCCTCTTGAATTTGTAAAGGACATCAATGAGTCAAAAGATTCATGGAAGATTGCTGTTAGGTGCAGACATGTCTAGCATGTGACGAGTGCTTCGGAAAAGGAACACATTGAGATGATTTTGGTTGATTCTAAGGTATGACGGTGGTGGTTATGTTCGTAATATACCTTCTCAAACCTTTGGGTGTCTGTAATATTGACTTTTTATAATTGTTTTTTTGTAGAGAGATATGATTCAAGCCATTGTATTACCTTTTTAGTTTCAAAATTCAAGGAACATCTTGCTGCTAGATGCTCATACATAATGCAGAATTTCAAAGTGTCTAACAATGATTCTCTTTTAAAACTAATCATAGCTGCTTATGATTTCTATCTTTGTTTTTTGTTGTTTTACTTTTCAGCTTCAATCATTGTTTGATCTTCGTTTTGATTTGCTTAGTTATTTTGTTATATTTTTAACCCATTGATGTATAAACAACTGTACTGTATTTTTTTGGAGTAAACTGATAAAGTTGCTACATTATATATAAGGAAGTGTTTGGTTTCACTGCAGATTTAGTGTAGCTTTTAGCTTTTTTGAGTTGTAATTTTTTATTAATTAATAAAGGTAATATAATTGTAAGTGTGTTGATTTAATGTTTGTTTACGATGCAGACAACGAAAGTGAAGGATACCGATTCTGCGGTTAAAAATGTGTTATCTGTTATTGAATCTTTGAAGAAGCAAGTAGCTATGAAACATATTGTTTCACTCAAGGTATAATTGCTTTACACATGCTTGTATTTAGTTGTTGATTTTGTATTTGGATTTTTGGTTTAATGTTGGGTGTTCCAAATAAAAAATTCTCTGAATCATAAATTCTCAATTCAACCGATCTAATAAATTAATAACTATTTTGTTTGTGTCTGTTTGTTCTCCGGTATCGACTAATCTGTTTGAAATGATGAGCTTAAGTATATCTTTGGAATTCATGGAGAAATCAAAGAAGTAAGTGCAAATAATTGGTTTTTAACCATCTTAGTTGCTTTTTATTTTATGAAGATTATTCAAGACTATTTGAATATTATGTTTCTAATTCCAGATCTATGAATATCAATAAATTTTACATCCACGGCTTTTTGAGTTTTCTAGATCTTTCAAAATGTTTCTACTGGTTCTATTCATGCAATTGCGAAGACATCAAAATAGCAAATTTTTGAGAGCACATAAGCATTATTGTTTGTATTCTATGAACTTATTTGTTATCAATTGAAGATTTTCTCATGAATGTAATGAAAATGAATTAAATTGAATAAGAAAAGGTTTTGTCTGTGGTCATAAATTTACTGTTATATTGCTGTGTCATTGTATTTTGCAGGTTATTAGGACTTATGCTTTGAACAAAACATGGTGGATAAGTTTTCTGATGGATATTATTAGGGACATTGTTGATGTTAAGGGCAATATCTCTGCCTACAGTAAGTATTATGGAAATATATAAACTTAAAGAAATTTATTTTAATGTTTACCATCTCTACTGACTAATGTATGTTTATAAGAAATTTATTTTCATTGTGTTCTTGACCGCCAAGTCAAAGTCATATGAAGCTATATATATAAATGATTAAAGTTAAGCCCATATGAAATATTTGATAGTACAATAAATCATTAACACAAATATCATATTTTCAAATATCATATATATTATTGCATATGGAGTCAAACCGAAAAATTGAAGCTATCAACAGAGAAGTAAGGGGATCCTAGATGGATATTTGTTAGTATATGTCGGTTTGTTATAAAGGAGTTATATAATTGGGACATTTTTGGGTGCAGAATCTAAACAATAGACAAAAGCTTGGCTGTGAGAAGGGAACTGGTATCGATAGAGCAAGGATGAATATGACAAAGTAAATTTATAATACATATTTTTATTAGCTTACTTGATAAAACATCTTGAGAAGCTGAAATATCTACTTTTTCTTGCAATCACAATTTCTAGATTAAGAAATTCAGGGATCTCATGATAGAGTTTCAGGTATTTTAATTCGAACCGCCTAATGCTGTAAGTTCTCTATTCTCATAACAATAGATTTGGCTGATTTCTGTTGTATATATGTGATATCAGGTGTTATTAATTATTTCAAATTTGTTACTACTTTGTTTCAGACGTATAGCGCTTCAAATGAGATTGTAGGAATCTCAATTACCAGTGGAAGAGCTGGAAGTGATGAGTTATGTGTTAATCGCGTGTGTATGTATGTATTTCGAATGGCATATTTTATATATGAAACTGATTTTGTTCTCACGCGTTTGCAGGTTGAATACGTATCGATGCATATGAAATTGATGATGAAAAGGACATGCTCAGTAGGAGCTGTTATTCGCTGAAATTGAATATATGCAGAAGAGGGTTAATATTTTTCTTTGCATTTAAAAAGTGATTATTTAAAAAAAGTACTTTCTCACAATTTCTCTTTGCAACCAATACATCTTTTATTGCGAAACTGCCAAGACCTTAGCTTCATTACATTCTGTTAATGTGGATTCCATTGGTATTGGAAATTACGGGTTACATAATGATTATTGCAGAAGACAGGTAAGTTCTTTGAGAGTGTGCTAATTTACGGTTAAGGTTATGCCTTGAAGAAGATTTTGTTTTTTGTAAATAGATATACTAATGGATAATTTGCTTATTTTAGATTGAGAGATGAGGTAAGCAATATGTGTCTTCAACCAGTGAAGGTAAACCTGCAAGCAATATGAAAATGTATGATTATTGCTAGAATGCATAATTTATTAATTCATCAAATGATGAAAACATCTTATACACAACAAATATGCCAACTGCAAATGGTACTCTCGGGTTGATATTTATGAGCACATAATTAGCTACAAGTTTCTAAACTGCTGTACAAATTGGACCTTACACAGTGAAAAATATGTGCTATTTAAATTTGATAGGTATCTGAAATTGGAATGGTGAAATTGAATAATACTGAATTTTTGCTACCATAGATATATATTGTATTTGTTACAGTGTTGCAATCTCATAAAATTAATGGAAAAACTATGCAAATGGCTGCATACTAGCTCCTTGTGAGATGAAAACAGGAAATTGTACTGGAAGATAACACCCTTGCTAATAGAGAAACGACTTCTCTATACAATTAAAGCTACTGTAAAACCATTCAATAGAGTTCACTCCGGCCCCTTACCTCTCCCCTGACTTCCTTTATAGCCACCCTCTCATAATGGGTCTATCAAAATTCTGAAACTACATAATAAGTATAGACGGTTTGATGATGACATAGATAAATTACTTCATGATATTTTTACACAGTTTCTAGGTGCAAGTTATTTTCTATTATGTTGGATTGTGATTTATGTTTCCAGTTTATCTAAAATCACTCATCTACTGAATACAATGGTGATTTTACTATATATATATATATATATATATATATATATATATATATATATATATATATATATATATATATATATATATATATGTATTGGTTTTCTATGTCATACATATGTCTTCTATACTGATACAACTAATAGCTATTTCAAACTTTATTGTGTTAAGAAAAGCCAAATTCTTCCTACTGATAGTAATGAGAGTGATAACAATATGAGGCTATAATCATTTTTTTCTTTCTGATTTTGTGTCAATTTTTTCCTTCAGGTAAAGTATTTTGGAAATTCGGGTGGTGGCCTTAATAAAAACCTATTTTTGAATGTATATGAATGTTTATGTTACTCTTTTTTTATGATTATTAGTGAATGTATATATGACTGATAATTTATTGCAGTTTTAATAGTCATGTTTTAAATTAATCATTAGTTGTTAAGTTAATCAATAATTGTAACAGTGATTGTATTAGTATGTATTTTTACTTTTATATTAAACTTTTAAATAGTTTTTATTTATCTTATCCTTTGTATTTTTGGGCATTGGATTTCAAAGTAGTTGAAGATTTTGAAGGAAAAAAGTCTATACAAATAATCTAAATTATAAATAATTAAACATTAATTTTTATGCTCCATGTATTATTTTGCATTTCTAATTATTTTAAATAAAATATAATATTTAATTAATATTCCATATTAATTATGACCAATAACTTTGCAAAAACCGAGGGGACATGAATGATTAGTATTTCACATTTATTAATGATAATGATTCTATATAATAAATTTTCCATTTAAAAATTGGTATCCATTAAATATCAAACAAATAATTATTCAATTTAAAATGTTCTTCCGATTTTAAATTATCTGAATTTGAACTGCTATGTTGCATGCTATTGGGAAGTTGTTAAAATTTTAATTATTATTATTTATTATAAATCAATTAAAAATAAACTTTTGGAAATATAATTGTAGGTAAATCATTTTTTTGTAAATGAAAAATAATTGAAAAATTAAGTTAATTAAAAACGTGGTTATTATATTTCTTTGTAATAGGAAATTATTAAAAACTTAATTATTATTATTTATTGTAAATCAATTAAAATAATAAATGTTATATTATTGTTTAATATGTAATTTTGTATTATCAATAATAAATTTCTATTATAGCAAAAATGAATGTATTATAGAAATAAGTTACAAATGGAAATAAGTTACAGATGGAAATAAGTTACAAATATTTTTATAAACGATAAAAATTTAACTATTAATACAATTGTTTTTAATAGGAATAAGTTAAAAATATTATGGATTCAAAGCACTTATAAATGGGAAAGAATCTCCATGTTGATATAATTATTTGTATAAACGGGAATAAGTAATAATAATTTTTATAAACGTAACAAGTTACAAATATTTTTATAAACGAAAATAATTTAACTATTGATGCAATTGTTTTTTAACAGAAATAAGTTAACAATAATTTTATAAATCGTCAAACAGATTCAAGGCACTTATAAACAAAATGTCTACATGTTGATATGTTAAAAGACTTAGAAATGAGAAAGATTTATGTTATACTATAAACACAAATAACTTATTATTTTAACTAATTTCAACTACATAACTTATTTCAAGGTATCATGGAGTATAGATATTTATTTAGAACTGAAATTTAAGGAGGGGGTGTTGTAAAAATTATAAATATGATATAATAAGAAGGATTTAAAACTCATATTTGAGGGGAAGCTGTCATAAATTTTAGGTTTGGAAAAATTGACTAATTTTTGGATTCAACTGGAAATATAATTTTATTATTTTCTGTAGTTTTAAAATTAACTCATCTGGATTCAACTGAGTTGTGTTAACTCATCTGAATTCACGGGCATATGTGAACGTATCTATGAGATATCAGTTGTAGACGGGTCAATTTAATGTCCATCTTTTAATTATATCTTTTATTGTGATATATATAATTTAAATTATAAAAATGATTGTACGATTTATTATAAATACGAATAAATACTTAAAAGTTGGTAGTGAAAAACATGTAATGTGAATTTTGGTTTAAAATACTATTTGACTCAAAATAGATCGAATTTTGATTGATCAATTATTTTAGCTTATCTTAATATATATATATATATATATATATATATATATATATATATATATATATATATATATATATATATATATATATATATATATATATATATATATATATATATATATATATATATATATATATATATATATATATATATATATATATATATATATATATATATATATATATATATATATATATATATATATATATATATATATATATATATATATATATATATATATATATATATATATATATATATATATATATATATATATATATATATATAAATTTAAAATCAAAATTAAATACATGTGGTTCATTCATTTACAAGTTCAACATTGAAATTTATAATATTATGAAGTTTGGCCAACATATGGTATTGATGTGACATTAACTTTTTTAACCTCTACCCATAATTGTTAAGATTTGGTAGCATATACTGTAATGATGAAACACAATTAATGTTTTATTGCAACTTCACTGATGCAATGCACTGTACCCTATCTCATATCCAATGTACAAATAGAGTATCTGAGTACACTTAAAAATTAGAATACAAATGTTATGAACTGCAAAACCAAACAATTCCATATAGGTTTGTTACTCTTACAGTTGGATTGTATTTTCCTACTCCTGTATTCAGTCATGGCCAGTTGTATGTAGCCATTTCAAGAGTTACAAGCAAAAGTGGTCTAAAGATCTTAATACATGATAGTATGAATGTATCAACATCTATCACTACAAATGTTGTATACAAAGAAGTTTTCCAATCTCTTTGTTGATCGGTAAGTACATAATAACAAATATTTTCTTTAATATAAATTGTTTCCGTAAATGCTGTCTAATTTTTGCATAATTTATTGTGCAGGTCAAAAAGTTGAAAACATCGTTTCTAAGCTGGTTGCGTTGTATCTGAAGACTCGTGATAGTTTCTTATTTTGAAGAGTCATCACAGTTTCTTATTTTGTTACATAATCATTATTTCAGTTTACATTTTTTAATGTTGTCAAATAAGTTTGATACACTAAATTTGGCCGAATTAGATGAACTTTTATTGAATTACATAAAAACGAATTTACTGTTACATGACAACATTAGTTCCACGTTTTATAAATTCTCGACCGGCCCCGTGCGACAGCACGGGTTATCGACTAGTTGGAGTAACAAAGATATCGACAACAGACTACCTTACATAATGTCAAGGCTACCATCCATTGGAGTTACAAAAATATCGACTAAAGACTACCTTCCATAATGACAAGGTTACCATCCATTGGAATAACAAATATCTCGACAACAGACTACCTTCCATCATGATAAGGCTACCATCCATTGCAGTAACCAAAATCCAAACGACAAGCTAACTTCCATATTGACAAGGCTATCATCCATTGGAGTAAGAAAAATATCGACAAGAGACTACCTTCCATAATGACAGGGCTATTATCCATTGGAGTAAAAAAAATCTCGACCCTAGACTACCTTCCATAATGA